TAATAGTAACTTGAAAATGAGTCTGATGGTTTTTTCTACTCCCTGGAAACAATAATGACTATAAACTTCCAAGTATTAGAAACAAAATCTGAGTAAAAAAAAGGGTATTGGGAAGTGGAATAGGTAGTATCTTCCAGAACAGTATTAAAAACACAGTCATTACCAGATGTGTATTCAAAATGTGACTAATAATTGAAATTTAGCTGCCGACATAATCGGTCTATCAAATAGACTATTATTATAAAAGGCAGTATTAAATGAAGAGGGAAAACTGAAAGACACTGGGGTTAGAACAAACAAAGGAATTAGTATAATATTGTCGAAAGATACACAATTATTTGTGACTAAAAATATTTAGAAAAGTCGACAAAAGTCGAAGCTTTTTCAGGACCATATGCCAGTGGAACTTTCCTTTGTATATTTGTATAGTCTGCGTGAGGTTTATAACGCAGCCTTGTGAGAATGCTTCAGATTTCAAATATTGGGTGACATCATCACTTCAGACGTATTGCTACTGTAGGAGAGCTTCGATCTGTTGTTTCACCAGCATGTTTATGTCGTTTGTAGAAGACGACCATTTATATATATCATAAGTTTCGATTCCATTGTTAAGCATGGCTAAGGATCAGCCATTGGCCTCAAATGAGTGAAATGATCAGTAATGCGGTTGTATTCAGTATCATTTTCTCTGTGATATGATTCTTTATAGAAATATTGTAGATAATACTCTTTTGTTTATGTTTAGATAACTATTGTTTTATTTTTATGATAAAGCTTTTGAAATTCTGAAATAAACTATAATTTTTGGCAGTTTCTTTGGGGTTTGCCATTTCATTTTAGAATGCAAAATATTGTGATACAAGTTGGTTTCTCTTATTAATAATAATACAAAACTTTTGTATGGATCACGTGGGTAACCAATGGCTTATCTATAAGGTTGTTTCTGAACTTTTATGACACAATTTTCGGAATGAATGGGTTAGCTTTATTTGATAGAAGTGGTGAGTTTGTATTCATATCGATGATGCTAGAAAAGAATGTATGGACAAACTTGCACATGAAGTCAAGTAAATATCATCTACCTATCGTTTACAAATAAGTGTAATCCATAGAGTATCCAACACCCGAATGAATTACTTATTTATTAATACTTCATATATATATATATATATATATACATGTATAACTGAG